ATTGTTGAATATAGATTAAGAATTGGAAAAACGAAAGGCTACTACATTTTAAGTTGACAGTTTGCGGTGAGTTTGTAGGGTTTAAACAAATTTCATAACATGCAATGTTACCTAATTAAGTACATATAAACATTCTTTTCTTTTTAGAAGTGTTATAGATACAATGTATATGACTCTCCATATATCATCATATATGGCAAACTAAAGAAAATTACAGAAGAGGAAGAATACATTAAATTTGATTTTGCATGATGAAAAAGTCTCTTCACTAATCTTTAAGATGTTTTAAGTAATAATATGAAAATTTAGAGCAACCAATTAAAGATATGTCAAACTACGAAAATTTTACCCTGTATTGCCATTACAATTGTTAATAATCTTTTAAAATGTATCATTTACTCGACGCGATTTATTTATTTATTTACATAAAAACAAAAACGATCAGAGTAATTTATCATTATCTGGTACCCCCATTTCTTGACTGTACTGCGTAGTGCTAATATCTTTGTCGACTCCCTAAATTGTTACCAAACTATATCATCTCCGTCTGCTTATGTGTTGACGTTATATGTAACGTCGTTGCAAATTTGAACGTCATCCGTTAGGTTCATAAGAATTTACAGCTACAAAGCTTAAGACGTATGCGGAAATCATAAAATAGAAATGGCAGCACCGACGCAGAAAACAAATCCATGCAATAATAATGTTTGTGTGGATCAAGGGTCATGTATAATACACATACTAACAGCATTTATATATTATGTAGTATTTTTCATGTATGATACTCAATTATAGATCTTTTATAATGCGCTAATTTACTTTAATCTACTCTTTTTAATACACGAAACCATTTTAGTGTTGATGCTTGATCCTATTTTGAAACAACTAGTGGTGTATGTTAAACAGTGTTCAAGCTTAATCATGTGCCTGTAGGATGAAATTAATTTTTTTATCTTTCTTTATTTTTGTTTATTAGCGCATTTTAGATAGCAATATAAACAATAGACAATATAACAAAATATACACTATATTTGTTCTTTCATATAAACAAACAATACGCACACGACTGCTTTAGTTAACTTTAATGTTTGCAATTAGTTCAAAAACAAATGTATCATATTCCTAAGTAGTCATTTTGTATAGATATAACCATATAATTATATTATAGTGCTCCTTGTTCATCCCGTATGCTAGATATCTAAACAATATTTATGATCAACAAATAAATCAAGCATCTTTTTACTTTTCTTTACATCTTAGAACATTTTTCTAAAGTTTGATTTTCTTGAAATATTGTGACTCATGTGGAGACATATAGCTTTAACGATATCGTAGGTTTCATGTATGTTGACCGTATGTTTATAATTACCATTATATATATTTGAAATGGAATATGAGTGATGTTGGCTCATTTCTTAAATTAATAAAGTTTATGCTGTTTTTGTTCTCATATAAACGAGTATTAGGTCAGACACTTACATAGATTTTCCCATAGACTTACATTATAAGAAAAGGTCACTAATCCTACCTTACAATTGAGTTTTTATGCTAAATAGGTGATTTTTCTAGCAGAATGAAATGTCTGACACATAAAAATGTTCCTGTTATATAGGAATAGCCAACCAAATTGTTTGCAAAATGAATTTAAAGAGGATTACCCCCCCCCCACTCCATGTCACAGGACTGACATACACTTTTTATAAATGCAAATATCCAAGTAAACAATCATAGAGACTCACGAAATATTTCATTTTCTTCAGGAAACAATGTAGTGCTACTTTCTAAATTAGTTTTTATGCTTAAAAATACCCCATTTTTATCCAATCACCTCATGTCTAATTAAATCATACGGTTTTCCCTACACCTTTTTAGCCAATCGTTGGCAATGTTACAATGCGAGACCCTGGCCATTTGGACAGGGGACCTAAAAATGAAAAATTTTGTATTTCAGTGTGACCAGAAACACAATTCCAAATATTTCAAAATCTGTTTCACAGGCAGATAACCAGTTGCACAACATTATTCAATGATATATGACATACATTGAAGAAAATAATAGTTTGCATGCATTGCTCCTTCAAAAAATGACTGTTTTATATTTATATTTACCCCCACCCAGCCAAAATCACACCTAAAATATACCAATATGGGCAATCTTCATGAAGGTGCAGCATACTCCAGAATCCGTCCGATTCCTTTAAAAATATCAGTAACACGCTGTTTTATGAATCATGTAGGCCTCATTAATGACAGCCAAGTTCTTATATTACATAAGACCTTCATATGTGTATACCAAAGGTATTTTTGGTTTAATATAAAAATATCAACCAAGGCAACTTGAGTTGTTGAGTTATTGGTCAGAAATCGTCATTAAGTACAAGGTCAATATGACATTGACCCCTTGACCCAAAATCAAAAGGGGTCATCTACTGGTCATGACCAATCATCATACCAAATTTAAAGTTCATAGGCCTAAGCGTTCTTTAGTTATTGATCAGAAACCGATTTTACCTACAAGGCCAATGTGACCTTGCCCTTTGATCCCTTGACCCCAAAATCAATAGAAGTCATCTGCTGGTCATGACCAATCACCCTACCAAGTTTGAAGTTCCTAGGCCTAAGCGTTCCTTAGTTATTGATCGGAAACCGTTTTTACCTACAAGGTCAATGTGACCTTGACCTTTGACCCTTTGACCCCAAAATCAATATGGGTCATCTACTGGTCATTACCAATCACCATACCAAGTTTGAAGTTCATAGGCCTAAGGGTTCTTTAGTTATCACTCGGAAACCATTTGGTCTACGGACCGACGGACCGACAAATGCAAAGCAACATGCCCCCTCTTTTTTGAAGTGGGGGCATAATAAATGTCAGAATAAATTTGTTCGCTAGCTGAATATAAATATATCGACATGCTACGGTAGCTACTTCGTTTCAAATACAAATTTCTCGTTGCTGGATAAATTCACGGGGGGAGGGGGGGCTCATGGAATATATTTAAACCAGCCAAATTATGAGTTATTGACAGTTGCCAACTTAATTTCGATTCAATTAAAAATGATTTTTGCATTTGTACATAATGCGTTCAAAGTCGCAATGGAAGGAGCGATACAAACTTTTAAATTAGTTTTGAGACAAGTAGAACAGTTAAATATAATCATGTATATTCAATGAAGTCAGATAAAGAGAATTGTATTTTATTTGACAATAACCTTCGGCTTGTAAAAAAGCTAGTGTAAATATATAAATAATGTGATTCATAAAATAAACAGCAGATAAAGGGGGTTTAAACCCTCGAAATGTCAATACTGATAACACTTGTAATATAGATCTATATTTAAAATGTATAAAGCCTTTTTTGTAATAATCAAAACTCAAGATCTACGTTGATTAAGTTTAACACGCTAGAGAGTGTCAGACCACTAAAATTTAGCGGCTTATAACGTCGGGTAATGTTTAAAAAAACGCACAAAGTACAAACCGGCTGATAACAGTTTTCTGTACAATTACTAGAAAGGTTGTTATTCTGACAATATGATCATTGTCCTCATGAACATTTTACCATTATGTTATTGTAAAGTGCGATTCGAGCCTCATAAAATTGTAGTGACCGATCAGTCAGCCAACATAAATTTAAAGGACCGTAACCGTGCTGTGTGCTATTTCTTTGATGAAATAATTAAACATATAGATTAAAATTTGAATTTGAATTGACCTCTGACCTTAGTCATGTGATGTAAATACAAATATGACCTATGTGTTGTTTATAAAACGAATGAAGTTTTCTTAAAAGGAAATAATCCATTACAAGTGAGCGAATACTTGTTGAAAATATTTGTTGGCTACTACATGTTAAACTTTTCACTTAACTAATAAGCCCCTAACAATAGATAACGCTGACATATTTGGGGAAACAAAATTATGTGGAAGACCAAATAATTGTATCTTTTGCAGATTTTTATTTATGTTCTGGTATTTAACTATTATCACATAATACAGTGATTTGTCTTTGATGTTCATAAGCTTTTATATGACAGAAACATGCTTTATTGACAATTACAGTGCGATATCTCAGAAAACGAATACTTCTTGTGCGTCATTTCAAATAGAACACATGCACGTAAGTTCAAATGGTTCATGTATAACCGTAACGGTAAAAATAAAACAAGGGTCACACGATTGTACCGTGACTCAGGCTGGAAAATCACGAATTAATTCAGATTGAGGATAGGACATAGGAAATTGGGTACTGACATTCACCGGAGATCATTTCAGTTGCTTTTATTAATTTTGGCGTAAGTAAACTAGAACCGTTTGGTTCGGGGCACTTGTTTTTGTTTATTATTATATAAAAATGTAAAGACAGACATAAATGATTTGTTGCAGATAGAGAAAACAGACAATGGCGACTGGAGGAGGTCTTTTGGGAGCAGGAGTACACATACATGGGGGAGCACCTCGTGGGACAGCGCCTGTCGGAGCCCCTGCTGGAGTATCTTTTGACCTCGAGAAGAAAGAGGCTTATTACTTACGTATGCATCTGCTGATAGTAAACGAGGCAACCGCTTTGTTAAGGACACGGTTTGACCTGGCTGTACCGTCAAATCAACTTCATAGGACGTTACAAAATTCTATGAAAACCTTACTCTATGCAAAAGATAAATATCTTAATAAAACGCAATGGGATTTTTTATTTCCGAAAAACAAGCCACCGTCTTCGGACACCTTCGACGTTACCCTCCTAGTTTATCTCCTCAGAAACATCTGTAGACTTAAGTCGAAATGGTGGGTCGAATCTGACAACAGCAAGATTCCTGACATTGTAGTTACTATGGATGCTGACATTGTTCGGTTGAGGAACTTAAGGAATGATGTAATTATATTACTGCTTCTTGATATGAATTTAATGTAACTTGTAAATTTTTGTATTCAGTAATTTTGAAAGATACAAATTTAACATCATATCAACATTTAGATATTCAAACGTGTTAGCAAATCTGATTCAAAGCTACAATTTACATTAATGAATGACAGTTGCATTTGGAAAACGTCTGTTACCAGTCAAAATAACTTAACCTTGATACTATGTACAGATCAGACAAAATATTACGCAAAATAACCCAAATGGTACTGTAAATAATATCTTATCAATGTTCTCCCTCTACTTTGTACTTATTTAAATCTTTAAAACAATTGAATAGCTGCTGCACAAACCCGTTGCTTCATTAGAGCCGGCAGAATTTGAAGACATGTGGGACCTAGCAGAAAAGGTACGTTTGTATATAAACTGTTGACTTGAGTTAAACAATCATTTTAATTGATGGATGATACATCTAGACAGCTGACATATTGTTGTTCTATTCTTTTTTCAGCGGATGAATATTGTTATACTTATAACTTCACTAATGATAACGGTAAAGAACGCAATTCATTCATAAAAGGCGCGCGGCAATGACGTCTATTAAAGCATGCGAGTTGTCTAACATTGCGGGGGGTAACACAGTTTATTTTCTAGCACGGTTGAAAACGGTTTATACTCTTGTCTCATATGCAAGAATAGCATATAATTTACCAAAACTAATTTGGTAATTAACATACGGTTTGTTTCCAATGCTGTAAATGTACAGAAGGATTTACGTTCAAATGATGTCTGTCGTACCAATTTAAGTCTGATAATACTTTTAACTAATTTTTTACAAAAAGTAATAAAATCAAACGCTGACATTATTTTGCTTACTTTTGAAGTACCCAATAACATTTTCATCTTTTTGATAGACGCAAGTGTATAGATTTTTTTTCTTAAATTTGGAAATTACTCTCACTTGCATTTAGCATGAATAGCGCCGTCTTGAAAACCGTATTTAATATCTTAACCAACAACATAAACCAGCGACTAATTTCTAGTAACTGGGCAGTCGATCTGTCGTTTTTACTGTGAAGTTGTAACCTCTAATCAGAAGCGCCTTTCTCTGTTTATTGATCTTACTGTGACAGCTACGAAAAGGTAGATCTTGGTTTCTTTATATTCAGGCAATGCTTCGACTTGCTGCAAAGTTAAACATACAAGATCAAAAGCAGAAAATTGATGATTTGAAAACCAGTCAACTGGATTTAGTTACCGATGGAATGAGAAGTATAAGAGGTAAGATAGGAGATTCTAAGGTTAAGAGTGTTTAAACCTGTAGAACTATGTATAATTGGCTGCATACATTTTACTTTAATTAAATTTCATACTGAAATTAATTTCAAACTGTCATTGGATTTAATAAGTTCATAATATAATTAGAGAAGCACAACTATCGAGAGGAAATGGTTTATAAATTATTCTTGTGTTCTGGAAACTGCAATTAACTTTTTTTATTATTTTTTTTACAGCAAATACAGAATTATTTCTTCAAGACTATCTTGACGATCTTCAATATGTAGAAACTGCTGCCTACCAGAAAGCAATATCAATTCTTAGAGATAAACACATGGTAATACTAACTGGGCATCCAGGGGAAGGTAAAACTACTATGGCTGCAAGACTTGCCTTACACGTAAGTCAGTCCCCACGTAACTGCCTTAATCTTGTAGCGCCATCTGATTGGAGAAAAATCGATTTGTTATTAAAGCTTTTTGATACAATAATCATAGATGACATATTTGGTGCTGGAGCCTTGGATCAAAAGTTGGTCGGTGATTGGCGAAATCATCTGAATGAAATAGAGAGAGCAGCAAAGAAAAAAGCTGTGAGAGTGATAATAACGTCCAGGCATTACATTTATGAGGAATCTAAAGAAGAGCTTGGCTCTGTGCCAATGTTCACGGACGATAATAAAGCTCTTCTGCTGCTTACATCTTCCGATCTTTCACCCGACGAGAAAACCAAAATTCTTAAGATGCAAGCGGAAAAAAATGAACAAATTCTGGAAGACAAAACAATACATGAATGTGTTGAAGCTTCTAAAGGGCCGACAGAAGAAGTAAAAGATTTTCTGTTCGGATTCCCAGAATGTGCATCTATGTTTGTCAGAAACAAAACCATGCTCGACAAAGGTGCATCGTTTTTTAAGAAACCAGCCCAGTTCTTTAAAACATACTTAGAAAATTTGTATAGAGGCAAAGAACAAGAAAAGTTTTTAGCACTTGTAGCTGTATGGGCCAGTGATGATAAAAAAGTATCACGAAAAGAGTTGAAGAATACGGAAAGTGCATCAAACCATGTCAAGAAGGTAGCAAAAATATTTGGCTATAATGTCAGCCGAGACTTCCTTTACAAAATGCGATTGTCATTAGAGTCTCATGTGGGAGGATATCTTGTTTTTATAGGGGCAACTAAAGAGTATACTTTCAGTCATAATGTCATCGCAGATATGGTTGGTTTGGTCATTGGTAAAAAGGAACCAGAAAAATCAATAGAAATATGTCCACGAGATTTTCTCATGGAGTTTGTTTCAATTGAGGAGGGCATGCGAGATGATTTTAAAATAGTCTTAATGGACAGCGAAATAGATTGTCTTATTGCTAAATGTGTTAAAATGATTTTGCGAGAGAACTGTAACCAAGTTGCTAAAGAAAACAAACTGGATGAGTTTCAAACACTTTCCAGATCCGGACAGAGAAATAATGACATCAACATTATAAACACGATTGATTTTGGTATCATTAAACACAAAGCCTTTAGCTCTGAAAAATTTGTTAAAAAGTTCATTGAATATGTCGTTAACGAAAATATCATCCAAAACGTTTTCTCTGTACCTGTTATGACAATGAAGGGATATTTCCTTGACTATGGCATATCTATGAAGCAACTTGACATGTGTCTGATTGGATATGCCTGGTACATTGGGGCAACGACATTTGCAAAGGAAGTTATTACAAGACATGTTCTCGGAGAGGAAAACGTCGATTTGTCGGTATCCTTGTTGTTGGCCGTTCACTCAAGACAAAAGGATTCAGTAGAATTCCTCCTAAGCCATGGAGCAAAGGTAACTGGCGATGCGATATATATCGCTTCTCATAAGAACATAGAGCTTCTTAAGATATTACTTCAATATCCAGGAACAAACGTCAATGATAGAGGAAATGCAATCAATGGTAATTTTCCTTTAATCGTAGCAGCGCGAAAGGGTCTAACTGAAGCTGTGAAATGTATGCTTAGCTCAGGTGCTGATCTCGGAGTACAGAACACAGCACACATGACGGCATTACATAAAGCAATACTATACAAACGCAAAGATGTAATCAGACTTTTGATAGATGCCGGAGCACCACTTGATATAAAAGGGGGTAAATTCAAAAGAACACCTTTACATCTAGCAGTTGATTTGAATGAAATGGATCTTGTGGGAGTTCTCCGTCACAAAGGTGCATCATTGATGGTCAAAGACCATAGAGGACACTATCCAATACATATTGCTGCTATACGAGGAAGTACTAATATTGTAAGAGCACTTTACTTAGCTGATCCAAGCCAGGACAAACTACGAATTTCTTCTTATGGTACAAAGTCTATTATCAAAGGACTGTCATTGTTTCATATTGCCGTTTGGAAAAAGAATGAGGAGCTTCTAGATGCTTTAATACAATTAAATGCTGATCCAAATGTAAAAGATTTCTATGGCCAGACGCCTTTGTTCTTTGCAATAATGAGAAAACAGGAGAGCTTCATCAATAAATTATTGAACTACGAGAGAACCGATAAGAGAAAACCACAAAAGCAAGGTTTTACTCCTCTACATGCGGCTATTCACAAAGATTTAGATGACATTGCGACACGTTTGACAGGAGATTCCGATGTAAACGCAAAGGACAAATACGGGAAAACGGCACTTCATGTAGCATGTGAAAAGGCAAAGGTTCGGTTAATACAGACTCTTCTTAAAACAGGGGCAGATCAAAGAATTATCACAAAGAGAGGAGATACTGTGTACCATATCTTGAGACGAAGTAAGAAGAAATTGTCTGCAAATAAAGCTAACGAGTCAGGTCATGCGTGACTTTGACCCTGAATTTGCTGAAAGATTGCCGACACTAAGAAATAGGGCCGGTATAGTAATCAAACCCCAAAAAAGAATACAAATTCCGATCGCGGTCCGGTTACCAAATAGTCCAAACCAGTTTGCAGAAGAGGATTCAGATGATTCAAATGAAGATGAATTTGATAACATTTTAGAGGCCAATGATTTCATGCAAGATATGTATGACGATTATGGCGACGATGATGACAATGATCTTGATTTTTATTAGATGTACGTCATTCAAATTCATTGCATGATGCCCAGTGTTAAATTATGTGAAGAGATAGTGAATCAAATGAACAAATTCATATAAATTAAGTGTCACTTATTTCTTCCATGCAATTTGTGTTTATTGTCTACATAGTTATGTTGTGTATCTGACAAGAACTTATTGTTTCTTGATTTTTTTTCTATTAATATTCTATAGCTTAAGCTGATATATTGTATGTTAAAGTTCAATACTGGAACATATGCTTGTTTACACTGGTTGTGTAAATGTGCCATAATTTTATCGAATAGTATGTGTATTCGAAAGACATATAGACTACAAAATACATTTATATTAATTCTCAATTCATAAAGACATATGTAACACAAAAAATAATTGGTATCATATGTATGATATTTTAGAGCGAGACTCTTATATAATTGCTCTTTGAATTGTTTCTGATTGTGTGCGTTTCTGTAAATGACATTTGAAATAAATCAAAATCACCCATATTGTTGACTAGTTTTTAAAAAAAAAACAATGTAGAATTTCATTCCTCTTACATTCCCATAGTATAGAAGCTTTATGTACAGGTCAACGTTCAGAAAATCAGAAAAGCATTTTTCCATGCGAAACGGATTTTGATGAAAACAAACAACAACATGCATTTCATTTATCATGTTTACGAAGGTTTTCGTATTTGTTACCTTTCTTACTAAATACATGTACGACAAATAAAAACGAAACACTCTATATTCATAAGATCCGAAATACTGAAGAATAGAATGAGTAAAGATCTCTGTTAAATGTATATTAAACATTTAAAGCTGTTATATGTATATTAAACATTTAAAGCTGCGTTCCTCAAGATGAGCCGAAATATTTCAAGAGTAATTAAAGTTAAGAACAATTTGAATTTTAGAAAAGTAAAAGATTTTAGATTCAAGTAACAGTTTACATATGTAGTGTGCGATTAATAATTCATTAATAATCATAGTGCTGCTGCGTCACTTACGTCGTAAGCGAAATTTTTGCATATTTTGTTTGACCTCTCTATTTGGTAATTCACGTGGATTGTGCGTGCCGTTTACAATAATTTCATAATGTTTTACTTTTAAAAACATTTTCAAAATTTTCATGAAAATCAGCATGAAAATGGAGGCATTAGATAAAATGTTACAAATCTACCCTTCTGATGGATTACAAGTGTACCCTTTACCTTACAGATCGGGTGCCCATATAATGATTGCCACTTTAGTAATCATTTTCATACGGACCGCTGTCTTTAATCTTTTACGCTCCCTTCACAAGTTCTGTCCGTCTTGGCAGCCCCACCAGTCAGCTAAAAATAAGTAAGAGGGATAACTGTGCTTTGCTTAATAAAAAGTTAGCATTATAATTGCTTCCCTTTGGTGGAGGGGGTCATTTTGTCCATAAAATAAGCAGTGGATATTTAATACTTTCTATAGATACAGGATTACTTTCCATAGAGTGGTATGGAAATAAATATTTCCTGCGAATGTAATATGATAATTTTCATATTACAAGATGAAAATAAATTCTTTATTTATAGAAAAATCTTGAATATTCTGTTTATTAATTTTATATACATTTTGTTTACTCTCTTTTGACATTACACTTTGAAAGACTTCCCCTTAATTTTGTGTATTGGCTGAATTTAAAGTTACCCGGCAAGACACCAGTGAAAATACGGGAAATATGTTTCATTGACCCAGTGTGAAGACTAAATTTTTACAGTGAAAATACGGAAAATGATAATACGCATTTTATTTCATCAATATTTCATAATATTTCATTTATGAATAATAAATAACATTATCACCCCTGACATTTTGTACATGTTTACAATAGGGAGTTTTTCTTACCGTTAATGCAAATCACCAGAGTGACTATCACAGCTAGAGAATTTAGGTGTTTGCAGCCTAGAGTGATTTTCAGATCCTAAATGTATTTTGGTTGATAAGTCAACAAGTAAACATCAGTTTTCATCGGAAGTTTTCGCATGGGAATGATTAAAATTGTGTCAAAATGGAACAAGCAAACGATTAAAGCATGTAACTAAATAATATCAGTGAAATATCACAGGCGTTCGGCACATTTACCATGCCAATAATGGTCAAATTATTATAAAAAAATTCACGCCTTGATCATCAAGAACAAAATCACTATCCAGCACCCCTTTACTATATAAAATATATAAAAGGTATATAACTCGCCGTATCGAATTTCTCCGGCACGGTCAACATTTTGCTGTCTTGATTTCTTTTTTTTTTTAAATAAGACATATAGTCATCATACTTAAACGAGTAAACAAAGCACAATAGATATATATTTCAGTAACCTGTAAAAATATTAGGTCATCTATCCTCATTTACGATTAATGAATTATCAAACGTGAAAAATTACCTTAAAATATCCAGGTCGACATATTAAGTGCCAAGAAATTTTCATAATCCACCACGAGTAAACATACGTTTAGCTGCTTGCCATTGGTATGAAAGTATTCCAAACAGGTTGAAAATTTGAAACCAAAAGCTGGCTTATAATTAACATGCACATGTTTAACTTGCAACTCATGACTGGCCATGAGTTTACTATATAATTAAACAATATTCAATAAATTGGAAATCTCATCAGGGGTGTCCATGACCGAGTGGTGCAACGTTGAGGGTTCGAAACCCGCCTGGAACTTGAGATTCTTTCATGTGAGGACGCTATTGGGCTAGCTTACGGTACGTTGTTGATTCTACTAAGGTGCCCGCTGGTGCCTGAAATAATGCAGGTCTTCCTCCACAAGTAAAGTTTGAATGTCGCCATATTGAAGCGACGTAAAATCCAGCCAGAAAAAAAAAGCTTCATCATTAGTCACTGTGTATATGCATATATTAATAGCATAAAACTATATGTATATATACCTGTGGGGTTTTTTTTGTTTTGTTCTTTATTGATTAAAAAAAAATTTCGGGCCGTTAAATGAAAGATAAAAGTGAAGTCACGAACCGATAAAAAGTAAATTTAGAAAATTTAGTGGTGTAATGCCCCGGAAAGAGGTGGCAACTAGTACTGGTAAACTGATTTGACAGCCTGCCGAGGCACGATACATGTGATCTGGTAAATTCAATATGCCATATCCAAAGTGAAAACTACAACCACTATTAAATACCTACTAGTAAGCACTAAACATTTGGTGGACGTTGCGGTCACTATCATGTAAAAAGGCCCTCGGTGCTGTATGTGTACTATTTAATTGAAAAGCCTTAAAAATTTATAATTACGAAAATATACAATTATTACACACGTCTTTCATTAACGACTTCATAAAAATGGTATCGCACGGTCGTGCAAATATTTTGACGTGACGTCCAAATTCGTGAATGAAAGCGCGTTTAAAAAAAGCTGCACGCCAACGTTAAATATTTCAAGAAAATAATGAACTAAAATTTTAAGAAAAGTAAAAATAATCATTTAGTAATTTACATATATGTTATATGCGATGAACGACTGATTTTTCAATATTTATCACCATAATTATTTTGTCTTCATGACTAATCCAGTAAAGCCTAGTTCGACTCTCTTTTTATGGTGATGTAAATGCCGTTTGCAATACAAAATGTATGTTAATAAATTTCTTTGTACATTACACAATTTTTCAATTTTTAATACATTTTCGAAATTTTGATAAAATTAGCTTGAATCTGGAGGCATGCTGCTTTAAATAAACTTACACTCCTAATAACATAAAAATATAGCATAGTTTATATTGTTTATATCAGGGTTTAAACGTACTTAGCGCAGTCCATAATTATTTATAGTACGGTCTTTGTTATGTTTTGGTAAAATTAAGATAAAAATATTCTAGAAGTGCTGACTACAATCCACATGCAGATTATACATGTATAGTATAATTGTGATCTTGTACATAAAGAACATTTTGCGTTCATATCTATAAATATTACAAAGCGTCATTTACTATAAATAGCCATTACCGATACATACTGAATAGTAGGAAATACCCGATACGTACGTGGTTAAAAATGCGTGTTTACATGTGTGTATATATAAACAGCCGATATAGTTGAAATAAACTATTCGCGGTTTGAATGTTAAATAGTAAACAGTATATATTATTATAAACTTTGAGCAAAATGGCGGCAGGACGAAAAATTAATGTGGAATCTGTGGATAGACCAGAGCTTGCTAAGCACGATAGCAAAAACTTGGATCTAGCATTTGCAATGGATTGTACTGGAAGCATGGGGTCGTATATTGAAGAGGCTAAAAACAATATTCGTAGAATTGTAGAAGAAATAGTTTCAAGTGAAAAGAGTGACGTAAGACTTGCTCTCGTAGAATACCGTGATCATCCGCCGCAAGATTCGACGTTCGTAACACGTTGTCATGATTTTACCTCTTCGCCTAAAACAATGAAAGGTTGGTTGAGTGAATCGTCGGCTTCCGGTGGCGGAGATATGCCTGAAGCCGTGGCTGATGCTCTTCATGATCTCCTTAAACTAAACTGGAGAGAGGATGCTACAAAAATATGTGTATGCATTTCTGACGCACCTCCACATGGGCTGGGATGCGGTGGTGATGGATTCCCCGACGGCTGTCCGGACGGGATAGATCCAATGGTTGTCGCTCATCAGCTTGCAGAAAAAGGTATCACTATATATATGGCAGGATGTGAGCCAAGTATATCACCATATAAGGACTTTTTCATGGCTGTGGCTTATATAACAGGTGGACAATACGTTCCTATGCGAAAAGCACAGGTTCTTTCAAAGGTGATTATTGGTGGGGCGCAAGAAGAACTTTCATTAAATCAATTAATGGCGGAAGTTGATGCTGAAGTTCAAAATAGAGTACAAGCTGGAGAAGACGTAAACGAGGATGAAGTGTCAGATTTACTTCATCAACGATGGGTGTCAAGAGGGGAATGTGTAGCACAACTACAAATGAACAACATGGAACTTGGTGGTGTTTATTCATCGCCAGAGGCAAAGAGCTATTCTAAATTCAAATCTTTTTCTGACGTACGGACAAATTTCAAGGCGAAACCGACAAGTTTCAATGGTAGACGTGAACCAGAATGTTATACAAGGAGTGCAGCTCCGAAACCGAGTGGAGGCGGTATTTTAAACTGGATGGGAAGTTGGTTTGGTGGTTCTTCTGCAGGTGACGCTCCAATGGGGGCTGCATCAAGCCCCGCTCCTCCACCTGCCCTGCTCTCGGATGACTTAATGCCTCGAGCAATGGCAAGCTCACATGATATGCCCTTTGAAGATGAGTATAACACTGTACGAACAGAAGTAACTAAAGCTCAGTCATCAAGGCTAGTGAAAAAGGTGATGGCGAAACACAAAATAGAGACAACAAACATAATCCATAAATAAAGCCCAACATGGCAAAATGAAAATATTGCAGGCTCGGTTTGATTGAGCCTGTACATGGACGGTTCTGGAAAGTGCAAGTAACGGCCACGGCCCCTAGCACCGGCTTAAGCAGAATTCAACAAAGTTTAAATTTAAAATACAAGTTCGCATTTATATGTTGTTTCATGTTTTAGGATATATCCCTATTGCTCGAATTCTCGGGATGGAATAATTAAAACGAATGGATACGCAATAAGTTGTTCATAGTAATTTTATTTTGTTTAAGATAAAAGAATAAAGTTGATTCTGTACATTTTATTTACATTATTCGAACGTACGATTTGCTGCATAAGCATAATTGAAATAAATATCTATTCAGGCCAATTTTAATCAAGCATATAAACTTATACAAACATTGTAAGATGAATATTTCGATTTCACCATATATGTATACTGCTACATCATTTCGTCATAATAGCTAACTTACTTGAGAAAATGTTATACCAATACCAATTTACATCCATTACATTTGAACTGTATGAATATAAATTTTATGTATACAAGTTTATGTTGGATAAAATCTATACAATGTATTTAAATGTAACGTATAAAAATGTATAACATTGTACTTGTATATAGGAATGTCATTGATATGATGTTGAAAGTAAATTCTTCCTTGACTTTTTACAATCTCAAATTAAATATATCTTAAATATATTTAATTACTTGTATTATGTACAGAATATTGTTTTGTCAGTCTCATAAACACTTTGCACATGTATGTACTACAGTTTGTATTTATTTGTTACTTATTATTTAATTAATTGTTGATATTGTTATAGAATATGTTTAAATAACAAAAAAAATATGAATAAAATATTACAGTATAACTGATTTTATTCATTTATTTTAGAATATACTTATAAAATATCAGTCCTCATTTTGTATAAATGAGTATTTAACTTTAAATCGAAGTAAAGGACATGCTATAATGGAGGGTATAAGATTGTAAGAACTTCTATCAGCCTTACTACACATACTATATATAGACTGACTACGTCATTCAGCTGTTCTAATTATACCTTACCTATATATTATAATATATATTATATAGAAGCATGATTTATTAAACACTGTGACTGAATAAATTGAGTGTCTGCTTTACAGGTAATGTTAAAGATCCTGTAACACAATTTTTATGGTTTTATGGTTTTATATCATAAATATGATGCTCAAATTAAGATTTATCAATACTGTACGTTCCAAAAAGCATTATTTATAATGATATTACCCAATTAAGCATTTCATGTAAATAAAGAGAGGTAATAAGAAATTTATTTTCTATGAAGTCTAAGTCAATTTTTTTTCAATAAGAAATGAATGAATATATTTTAATGATTAAATATCATGTTGACAAATATTTGCAGTACATATTTTACATATCATTCGATGTTTGAAAATTGTTTTAGAAGCATAATTATATACATATATAAAATTTCAATAAAGTTTGGATACAACCTTAAATACAACATAAAGGATCTTTAAGGCATACCTGAAATAGAAAACAAATATGAGCCGCGTCACGACAAAACCAACATAGTGCGTTTGCGACCAGCATGGATCCAGACCAGGATCCATGCTGTTCGCTTCCAGACTCTATAACAAGTAAAGAAACTGATAGCGAACAGCATGGATGCTGATCAGACTGCGCGGATGCGCAGGCTGGTCTGGATCCATGCTGGTCGCAAACCCATTATGTTGGTTTTGTCGTGACGCGGCAAGTATATTTTAGCATTTTGTACCCCATGACGTGTACTCTCAAGAGCGGATGGACCCTCATTAAGCCTAGAATGCCTACATTTAAAATATCTTGATACCCGACTGTATAAATAATGTATTACACGAAAAGCCTTCAAGACGCCTTGTAAACATGGAGGGACAATTTTCAATAGCTGCGAATCTCCTATAAACACTGTAACAACGGGAAAGCATACAGTATTTCTATTGGAATTTAAATATTGATTTATTGATCGATCATTCACTTATCATATTTGTTAACGACTGAATTGTGTATAATATTTACCAAAGATATATCAAAGATATTTATTTAGAATGCCGCATTGTAAATAAGGTGTTACAATCTGTATGTCTTAAAATGTTACTTTCTGTAAATGAAGTTATTATTTGCAACTGGGCGCCTCGATTTGCTCGTCATTATAAGGAACAAAACTGTTTCTTTTTCTCCGTTTCATGGTTATTTATTTAACTAAATATAATAGAATCACCCTTGATCACAGGACTGACTTGTATTTCGGTGTAGTGTAAATATTCAAGTTAATTAACATGCCATTAGACACGGTGTGGTTTTCTTTTTCGGTTGTGTGCGTGCGTGTGTGCGAGTGTGTGTGTTATTTCTTCTCTCTCTCTCTAACGTTTCTAAGTGAATGTTAAATTAATTTCTTTACATCGAATAGTTATGCGCGTTAGTTTTGCTTGTTCGTTTACTTTTAATTCTTTTTCATAATAATTTAATATAATGCTAATTATTTCAATTGGAATCGCTTCTCTACTGAAAAAATTAAGTTCTCGGTCATATATATAATTATTATATGGCGCCAGGCATATTTTCTTCAGAGGTCCTATGCCATCGATTTCGCTTTCCAATAAACAGTCGAAGCTACAATTAATCGAATTGTAATTTGGCCTCGGCATACATGCAAAGGCACGAATTGCCGAAACACACATACTATTATAGCGTGTTAGAAAAGCATTTTAAGATATACTATTATCTAAAATGTAAAAATGTATAAGAATTAACCACCAGATCTTTTGTTTTGATTGTAAGAAAGATAATCATGCATAACGCATAATCGTTTCATGACAATGAGTTGCGTATGTTGTGTATATATCTTAAACATTATACTAATTAACAGTTTCAGTTTTTATTAAACCAATTACGGCATATAATTTGCAATTGGTTATAACAAACAGAAAAATAGCAGTCAAAAATCACTAATATCACAATAAACATGATAAAAGAATACAATAGATAAACAAAAAAAGGAGATCATATTGTTCATATTCAAATGGGAACGGAGAATGAAGATCGAAGTATCAATTATCTAAATTTTCACATAATGTTCTTACAAAATAAAGATGATCTTAGTAGAATCTTTTTATCACAACTATTCATTAATCTGTCAAGTTTAAAAATACGAAAAATTATGATAAAGCTGTTAAACTATAGGTAATGTGTAAACTATTAACCTTGTCATGTTATCTTGTGTAAATATTGGATACAATAGGCTATATGTATTACTAAACATTTTATTGTGAACATAGCGTATCACATTACCGATTTGGATATCGATTTCCTCGGCTGTGTAATGAGAAGTTCAGACTGCTGTAAATATTGTCTGCCGACAGGATACAATTTAACATATTAAATACCATCAATAAATTAAGTACAAGGTGGATTAAAGTTCGCATCAACGCGCTATTTTTAGAGAAAAACATAATAGCTATTTTTAGAAAACGCGTCATATTTACATGCGCATAAGCTATTCTATAAATAGTCTGGTATAGAGGACGACGGCAATATTTAGTAAACAAACTTATTACTTTGTGAAATTATTATATATTCAAGTAAATTATCTGTTCGTGATGGAAACTAGACGGAAGCGGAATAACGACAGTGTGTTTAAACAAACTCTTGATACCACTCCTGTTAAAAAATTGAAGAAAATGTCGGACAAAATAGATCAAATGAAAGAAGTAATAATTGAAAACGAAACTAAATGTTTGGATTTGGCTTTTGCAATGGATTGTACAGGAAGTATGCAGTCATATATTAATGAAGCAAGGAATAATATCTGTAAGATCGTAGAGGAAATCGTGGCCAGTGAAAATATAGACGTGAGGTTGGCACTCGTTGAATACCGTGATCATCCCCCGGAAGATACTTCATTCGTTACTCGTTGCCATGATTTTACAAAGTCTTCAAAAACAATGAAAGGCTGGTTAAGTACCTGCTCTGCCACAGGCGGAGGAGACACGCCTGAAGCTGTAGCTGATGCTCTTCATGATCTACTTAAACTAAGCTGGAGGGAGGATTCTACAAAAATTTGTGTTTGTATTTCAGATGCTCCACCGCACGGACTTGGTTGTACATCAGATGGTTTTCCGGAAGGGTGTCCGAATGGAATTGACCCTGTGGTTGTATCAAACCAGCTGGCTGCAGAAGGAATAACATTATATGTTGCAGGCTGTGAACCAGCTATTATTCCATACAAAGATTTCTTTATGGCGATTGCACATATCACTGGTGGGCAATACGTTCCTATGCGAAAAGCGCAGGTCCTCTCAAAAGTGATTGTCTGCGGAGCACAAGAGGAATTGTCTTTAAACGATTTAATGGCAGAAGTAGATGCTGAAGTTAGAGCAAGAATGCAAGCTGGTGAAGAAATCAACGATCATGCAGTTTCTGGTTTCCTTCACAACAAATGGACAGAGCGTGGGCAGCAGGCAGTTCAGCTTCAAATGGATAATGCTGAACTCAATAGTGTACAAGACTCTCCTGAAGCAAAAAAGTATTCTCAAATGAAAACTCTTGCTGAAATCAAAAAGGTTTTCAAAGAAAAACCTGGCAGGTATGCATCATTTGGAAGCCATGCTTGCGGGAGAGGAGCATCTCTTTTTTGTAAGCCCGTCTCCGGAAGTACTGGTTTCGGTGCTGGTGGAGATTACAGTACAGGAACTTGTTTTGGAGCAGCATGTTCGAGCACATTTGGCTCAGTTGCAACTGGAGTCACGTTTGCACAGTCCTCGAGATTAGTACAGAAAGCTATTGCGAAAAACAAGAAATAACTGATGCGTCAATATCAGAGAGAGAGATATGGATAGTGGTCATATAACAATATGCATATTTTACGTTTTGAGATATAGCTGTTTTGCATATTTGATCATTTACAGTCTTTGTTTTCAACATTTGTGAATCGTTTTTATTTATTTAAGTTATTACTGGAGATAAGTTATAATATTAACACCATACAAAGTCATTCAAGTATGTTTTACCAAGGAAACATGACGTTATTGTGTTAAATTGTAGCAGATACAATACTTTCATGCTTGGAGCTGATATTAGGGTTTCTAAAATAACCCATGAATGTTTACAATTCTTAGTATTTTTCGTTGATAATAAAAAATTATCGTTATCAAGCACATGACCTTGTTTGTGTTCAATTTATATTTTAATATAACTATTACGTATTTTAAGGGACTCTTAAGGGATTCTTTCATTTGAAGAAGCTATCCCGCTACCTCATGGAAGATCGATGGTTCTTCTCAGGTGCCCGCTAGTGCATTTCATAATTGACGAATGTGTTACTGAGATCTTCGTCCATCAGCAAAGCTGGATAGTCCCTGAATATTTATAGTGGTAGCTGGATAGTCCCTGAATATTTATAGTGGTATGTTCTTTATGGCGTAGGTATGATCTTTATGGTGGTATGTTCTTTAAGGTGTCTGTAGTTACATATTTCTTTATATCAGACTTTGATCAAATTATTTTTTTTTCTAGCTTTATACCATCATGTGCTAACAAGGGCCACAGTCTGGCGGGGTCAGCGCTCGACTTTTCCTCACAAGAGGAACAATATACACCTACAAAACTTTTTTTGGTAATAAATTTCATATCTGACCTGGATGGGTCAAGGTCAATAAAAAGGTCAAAAGCTTATTTGAATTAATCATCATGTCGGTATTGTCATATGTGTTTTTGTCCAAGAATGAATCAATTTCATAAATAAATGAGCCATGCCATGACAAAACCAACATAATGCGTTTGCGACCAGCTATCAGTTTCTCTACTTGTTATAGAGTTTGTAAGCAAACAGCATGGATCCTGATCAGACTGTACGGATGCGCAGGCTGCTCTGGATCCATGTTGGTAGCAAACGCATTATGTTGGTTTTGTCATTGCGCATTATGTTGGTTTTGTCATGGCGCGGCTCAAATTGAGTTTTCATGTCTGGGTTCTGCAATTCTCATTGTAGCATTGATGACATTTCTCAAGTGAATAATGCTTTTTTAGTAAAACCTGCATAAACTTCTAATTCAAAACTTAAACAAAAGAGAAATGCAGCTGAATCATAATGTCTTCCAAATTGACTGAAGGACTGATAATGACTTTTTTCAAACAAGAGGGCCATGTTGGCCCTGAAATCGCTCACCTGTATATAGGCCCCCAGGGCAGGGCAAATTTTAACCCAGGGCTTTTTAGTTTTATTTAAGCAAATTTGGTAGTCACATATTAAAAGATGTGTTATCATAAATATCTAAGCTCTAGCTCTTTGGGGTTTTTAAAAGAAGATTTTTTAAGTTTTTACTATACACAATATAGGGAAAAACAATGCCCCCCCCCCCCCTCACCCAACCAAGGTTATCCCAGGGCTTTTATTTGAACAAACTTGGTAGACACTCCTAGAAGATGTTACATGCTTAATATCTAAACTCTAGCTTTTTGGGTTTTTTAAAGAAGATTTTTTAACTGTTTACTATACACATGTAAGGAAAATCAATGACCCCCATATCATGGCCAATTTAAATCCCAGGGCCCTTATTAAAACAAACTTGGTAGACACCCATTAGAAAATGTTTCATTGCTAAATATCTTAGCTCTAGCTCTTTGGGTTTTTTAAAAGAGATTTTTTTTTAAGTTTCTACTATATACATAAAGGAAAAAACAATGACCCCCTGGGTCAATTTTGACCCCAGAGCTTTTATTTGAACAAAGTTGGTAGAAATTTAACCCACTAGAAGATGTTTCATGCTTAATATCTAAGCTCTAGCTATTTGGGTTTTTTAAAAGAAGATCTTCTAAGTTATATATATACAAATAAGAAAAATCAATGACCCCCATGGGGCGCGGCCAATTTTGACCCAAGGGCTTTTATTTGAACACTGACTAGACAATGTTTCATGCCAAATATTAATGCTTTAGCTCTTTTGTTTTCTTTTAAGATTTTTAAAGTTTTTTCTTTCGGTTACCATGGCAACCAGAGTTCTGCATTGAATTAAATTCTTTGAACAATTTTTAAAGTTGACTGCCAAAGAAACAATCCTGTGAAGTTTGGATGAAATTGGCTTAGCGATTTATGAGAAGATGTTGTTTAAAGTAAAAGTTTACGGATGGACGCCGGACAGACGCCGGACAAAAAGCGATCATAAATGCTCACCATATCACTTTGTGACAGTCAAGCTAAAGATATGTTGTATTGTCATTTCAACTTTTAATCATAAACCATTAACTCAATATACATTTTTTAAGTAGATAGCAATTTGACAAATTTTTAACAAAATATCATTCAACTTCGGTAAATTCTTTTCATACTAAGAAAGTTTTAAAATAAAATGAATAAATACATCAAATTTATTTTCATAAGTAAACATCAACAAAAATCTTTTATATATTCATATGGAGGTTATCAAAAATTCAAAATGTTTTGCCTCTTAAGATAAAAGAAAAACCAAACTTTCCATATTTTTCTTCCCTGTGTTAGGATCTCATTAATAATATCAGAGTTGTAAATAAAAACCCAAAACAAGGAAATATACAGTAACAACAAAACCAGCATTTAATAATAAAGATTGACATCAAGGAAGAAAAATAATGCTGTGTATTTTGTTTGTGAAGTGTGATCTCTTGAAAGCAAGGAAGTAAAAAAGTTTTTTTTTGAAGTTGAAAATTGTATACACAGTATAATTCTGTTCATGAGAAAAAATAAAAGGCTTGTTAACGAGCAATCTGCTGGGACTGGAAGAGATTAGCCTTTACCGCAAGTATAGGGCCAGGCCCGCTTGTACATTCCTACAGTTTGACCAGCCTCTATACTGTTAATAGTTCATTTTTTGTATAATTATGACATTAAAATCCATTTATTTCTTAATGGACTGATCTGAATCCAAAGCAGGGCAAATCCAGTACATAAATTCAGCTGGTTTCAATGGGCTCCACTGGGGTAAAAACGCCTAGAAACATAACATTGGAAATTCTTGCTTAGACCAAGAGATGTACTGAAAATGGTTACATATGCAAAAGAAAATGAAAATATATACTCAGAATTAAATTGAAAAAGTAAACTTGTGTATGATGTTTTAAGCTTGGGGTGAGTGAAAAGCCTTGCAACTGGGAAAACAGAGTGAGAAAATGATCTGAAATTTTGTACACTAGTTAGTAGTTCAGACCTACATTAAAAATTAATAGAACACATGAATCAGAAAAAAAATCAAGTCTCTAAATGTAAAAACAAACCTTTAATTGTTAATATCGTTATCATTTCACAAAACCACTATATTCACATTGTACCGGATAAACTATCATAGATGAAAAATCTATTTATTCCTTCATACATTAGTTCAAACATAGAAAAAGTGGCAAGAAGTTGTTTGTCTATATGAATCATTAACACACTATCACTGAACAAACAATACTTTCTAAAACATTACTTATTCGGTAAACAAAACAAAAACTTATAGAACATATGTCATTTTCAACTGTTGTCTAATTTAATTCTGACTGTAATCTTTCTGGTGCTACTTTTTTCAAACAATTTGTTTATCAATCATAAGCTATTCACTCCGTAGGCTGAAGAAAAAAAAGTACTTTGTTTGCTTGCCGTTTGGGTTTAACAGCTTTCTGGGTTGAACAGCTTACTGGGATATCACTGGCCATACTGCCACTAGCACTATAGTTACTAAGCCTCAAATACTGTAACAATTCCACAAAAACATTTGTATATACATTTGTATATATAACACTTTGATTTATCACAGATTATCACTTAGATTATTTAAATCCATGCCTCTCCTCTATATATATACTCCTATACATGTGCATATCAATGTCTAAAGTAATAATCCACCGCTGTAGAGAATACTGCAAAACCTGCAGCCCCAAATGCAGCCGCTTTTAATCCAGCTGAAATGCAAGAAAGAAAGTTTAAACTATTTTACACAAACACTATTTACATAAACTTAAAGTATAAATAAAAATTTATGTACATATTATTAATGTTTAAATAATACTGTGTTTTATATGAGTGTGTAATACTGTCAAATGTTTTTGTATATTAAATATTACTAATAACTTTTGATACAAAATAACTTTCAAACAATGTATCTTACATATAAAAATTAAATGCATACATTGAAATTACTAAATTGTTAGACAGTTTGTCAAGATATTATTATTTAATATTTTATCCTAATTAATGGATCAGACATTCTGTGTTAAAACTTGTTCACATAAATCTAACTAATATTCTTCATTTATATAAATGTTTCTATGTTTTGTATACATATTACGTAGTCAATAAACTCACAGATTTAACTAGAAATGTGTCCATAGGACACAGGTGCCCCCACACTCCACCAATTTGTCAATCTTATGTCTCTAGGTCAAATAATTTTTTTGGCTACATGTGCCCAAGTTGAAAACTAAAAATCTTTTATTAAGTAAAGGGCAAATACTACAAATACTGAATAAATCCACAAGAAAACCCCAAGGTGCATAATTACACATGCTGACCAACATTCTTGTAAACTTTCAGGCCTACAGGTCATACACTTTTCGGGTTACAGGCAACAAAAGTTAAATATTGTAAATTTTTACTAAGTCAAGGACAATAACTCTAAAAGTACTAAAAATATCCACATGAAAATACCCAGGTGCACAACTACACATGCTGAGCAACATTCCTGTAAGGTTTCATGACTATAGGTCAAATACTTTTTTAGTTGCGTGCGACACAAGTTGAAAATTGGAAATTTTTACTAATTAAGGGCAATAATTCTAAAAATACTAAATATATCCACACTAAAATACACAGGTGCACAACTTCACATGCTGAGCAACATTCTTGTAAGGTTTCATGACTCTAGGTCAAATATTTTTTGAGTTACGTGCAACACAAGTTGAAAATTGTAAATTTTTACTAAGTCAAGAGCAATAACTCTAAAAATACTAAAAATATCCACATGAAAATACCCAGGTGCAATTTAAACTATACATGCTCATCAACATTTCTGAAAGGTTCCATGACTCTAGGTCAATTACTTTTTAAGCTATGTGCGACACAAATAGGGAACGGATGGACGGATGGATGGACGGACGTACAAGGGTAAATCTAAATACCCCCCTATTGTGGGGGCACAAAAAAAACATTGCTGTTATAATATTTTAGTGAGGAGGGAACCTATATATTTCCATAAGTCATGATTATTTAAACCCCAAACTTCCTCACAAGTCACTCATGTTTATGACTTACATCACTGGAATTTCACAATTTATTTCATACATGTTTATGACTTAGTCACATTGAATGTCACAATTTATTTCATACATGTTAACTACATATGTGACATTAAATGTCACAACCTTAATCACACATGTACACTACAGGTCTCATTGAATGTCACACCGTATATCACACATGTTAACCACATGTCATGTTGAATGTCACAACTTAAATTACACATGTTTACTACCTGTCTCATTGAATGTCACAAATTTTTACTACAAATGTACATTTCACATTGAATGTCACAACTGGAATCACAAGTTTATTAAATATGACAATGAACACTTCATTATCATGACTTTTCAAAAGAGCTATTTAACAAAATGGGTGGATGAAGATAAGAAATTCTGATGCCTCCAGTCTAAGGGAAATTACTGTTTTTCTTTTATTTCATTTACAAATACTAAAACTTTATTCATCTATATGTGTTTGACTGCATGACTGCCAGTAAAATAAGCAAGTCAATTGTCTGTCTTGTTTATATTTGATTATGAAAGTGGAGTTATAATCAGAAATGCAAGAATTGTGTTTATGTAATAATATACAACGATTAAAGTGCTATACTCAAAAGACTGCACTTAGCAATCTTATAATTATTATTTCTCAATAATCTGGTTATGTGATATACATTATTTCTCCTAAAATTAACAATTATTGGTTCAAAACTGAAAGAAATTATTCATTTTTGTTTTTATTACAAGTAATATTTTGTGTACTATACTCAAAACAAGTTTTATTAATGTCCATTTTGTGAGATATCCATTTATTGAAAACACAATGAATGGGCTATCTTTTTTTTCGAATGATAGTATTAGTTCATATTTAATACAGGAAAGTTTCCATTATTAAATAGGTTTGATCAAGTCAAGTGTTGTATTATCTGTTTTTTTACACCAGTTTTCAACACATTTTGACATTTTTAGTCTTATCTACATGTAATCGGCTTGTCCACATAACCAATTTTACCTGGTTACTTTACCGGTAATAACCCTTTTCTCTGCAAATTGCAAAAGAGAGACCTCCAATCTCAAATGATTTCTGAATCAGCAATTAGAGACAAATGATCATTAGACTAAATGAGCCGTGCCATGACAAAACCAACGTAATGCATTTGCGACCAGCATAGATCCATACCAGCCTGCGCATCCGCGCAGTCTGATCAGGATTCATGCTGTTCGTTATCAGTTTTGCTACTTGTTATAGGGTTGATAAGCGAACAGCATGGATCCTTATCAGACTGTGGGGATGCGCAGGCTGGCCTGGGTCCATGCTGGTCGCAAACGCATAATGTTGGTTTTGTCATGACACGGCTTAAATGTCCGCAATCAAAAGTCACAGATGAATTTTTCACTGAGGATCAAACAAGCAGTCTTAATTCCCAGTTAAACATGAAAGATAGAAAGAGTTAAACGGTACCTCTCAAGCCTAGAGCACCGCCCACTATAGCTCCTGATATCGTACCATTTGACAAGGGACTTTTCCCACGATACTGGAAAAAAAAAACAAAGAAAATTTATCATTCTATATTATAGCATATTGATAATATACAAGGTCATTTTTTTGCTTTTACAATGTCTATTAAAATCATTCATTTATTTGTTTGTTTTGTTTGGTTTTACAGTGAAAGAAATTCGGATTTAAATCCACTAGGCTGGTCGGACTACTAGATTGGAATATTCACTAACCCAAAAGACATTTCACTAGCACGATTCATTTGTTCAAAACAGTTGTTTATATTGCCTCTGAAAATACAGTAGCCTGGTCAGGCTTGTTACTGACAAAAGTTGGTAGCCTGAGGAGAAATTTAGTGGTCAGGGGCTATCAGACTCATGCTAATTTCAAACACTGTTTTATAGTGCACTAACATAAATTAAGCATCTATTTGTTTGATTTACATGTATTTGGTTTTATAGTTCACAAATTAGTTAACATAGTACTGAAACAGAAAAGATGATTTTGGATATATACAAGGTCATTTTGCTTTTACAATGCCTATGAAAATAATTCAAAACATGTAAAAAGACCTTTTTGTTTGTTTGATTTTATGGTGTACCAATACCAATTACCAATATGGTGTTACAAACTAAGAGATGCATAGACTCCAGTAACACAAACCCATTTAGTCTGACTCCTCTTGCAATCATGCAGGGATAAACCCTGGCTGCATTTCTGATGCCTAAACCCTTAGAGGCAACTCCTCAGTCACAAGGGTGAAAAAGATCCATAAAGGTTACAATTAATACATTGTACTGAAAAGAAACTTAACAATATGGTCGTTCATTACAGTATCACACATACAATCTTTGTGACATTGAAATAACTGACTAACCAAATTAACACTGTTTTCTTAACCTGCTGGAGAGAGACATGATTAATTAGCCAAGCAGTTTGACAAAGCCCTATAATTTAAAGTGACATAACTTTTAATATGGATATCCTTATAATTGTTAACAGACAATTCTAAGATTGCTTGCGTCTATACTAGTGGTAATGCTAAGATTTCCTTTTCTGTTCCAGCATAGTAAGGTCTGAATTATAACAAGTCAGCAAGTGCATTTGTACTGATGAGTAAAAGACATTCACTCTTACAGTTTCAAGAATGCATTCAGTGCCAGCAAACATAAATCCAATAGTTCCAAAGTTTCTTCCATATGATGAGCATCTCACTTTCATTTCTTTCAATACCGCACGAGTTGATGGTGTCTGATCTGGTGTCGTAGTCGTGTAAGTTGACATCGGGTCCATACCCACCGTGAATAAACCAATTGCACCACCCAGAGCAAAGCCTGTCATTAAAAAAAACATATTTGTAATATATAGAATGATATTATTTTTTTGAACTAGTTCAAAAATTTTAGTAATGAACTTACACCAATTTAATATTTTATTTATCGCACAAAAAATAAAGACTGTTTAAAGTGATAAAGAAAGATTTTTCAATGACGCGCCTTTAGTATAACACTAACATTTAGCGAGTCTTATCACTACAATCATATAATGCAAATGAAGCCTCATCAAAATATTAAATGTACAGCCATGCAATACCATTTTTACCGAGTTGCTAAATCATGGGTATGTTATAAACAATATTGTCATAACAAACAAATTGGTAACAACACCGTATATTTTGTATCAATTAACCTTTATTGCCTTAATCACCATCATGAGGTGTTTAAAGCATGTGACACCGACTGTTACTTATTCAGAACATGCAAGGATAGAAAATTCCACTTGTCCGCCCGTAATTTATTTACGAATAGAGATAGATGCAGGAGAGTACAAAATGGTAGAATGCTCGTCCTGCCAAAGCAGAAATTTGCCAATGCAATAGGAAGCTAGAATTCCCATAATCAGTTTGTTTACTTTTAACGATGGAAAAACTGAAACAAAGCTTGTGTTTTAGGTTATGTATAAATTGCGCACTTTACAAATTGCTTAAAGGATATGGGTGTAACTTGAACGTGCCCGACAATGCTCTATAAAGTGCGCGATTTATACATAACCTCAAACACAATCTTTGTTTCCTGTTTTGGTTTGTAAAATTTGTGTAAACAAACTTATTATGAAAATTTCTATTGGTCAATTGCATTGGCAGGGTTCTATTGCATCAGTGAGATTCATTTTGAAAATTGTGCCCAAAAAAGAGGACGAGTAGCATACCATGCAGGACAAGTAGAAATTTGAAGCCACTCATCATGCTGCTCGAGCTGTTCTATGAAAATGTTTCAATCCCTGAACATGTCGACCCCCAACTTTTTTTGTCTTTTTGTGTTTTCAACAGAAAAGGTGTGATTTTCAATATATTTCTGCTGAAGGGACCCAACATCAGGTTTGAGAGATCCGAGGTAGAACAATATATACTATATAGGAATTTTACCAGGACTTGGCAGTGTGCTTGAGCTATAGAAGGTATTCAAGAAATCCGGGTCTGAGGCCATCCTTAAAAAAATGTTTGTTTGCAGTAACCCGACCCAGAATTTTCAAGGTAGGTAGTTGGGTCGATTTTTTTTTTTGAACTGTTCTCCCAAATAAGCATGGAATTTTAAAATGCTGGACAATATATGCTTTGATAATCTGGTAACAATTAATAAATTGATAACTGAATTCTAATGTAATAAGACCTACATTTTATTTCTTCTATTAACGTTTAAAAGAACGAAAACAAAGCACAAGGCATAATTTTCCGATTCAAAAAAAAAATTCATCCAGACCATGAAAAAAAATTTTGAGTAGGGGCAATTTTTGTGAGTCGATCGCGTTACTGCAAATGAACATTTTTTTAAGGATGGCCTGAGTGAACGAAGTTTAACTGTATACCCTTTTTTCTTTCTTTTTCTAAAAAGTGTCAGTCCACAAGAAAGCATGATATATTGCTGTGCAGAGAAAATAAATACTGCCTACCAGTTTTATTCAAAAACTCTTTTTGGCTTGCTCTGTTAACCGTTAAACACTACCTTATTGAATGTTGGTTAAAGAAAGTTTGAATATCGTTCGTTGTTATCTCCAAATGGCGAGAAAAAAAGAGCATTTAGTTGCAGTTGAATAACATCAATGTAAATAGTTTTAATTATTTATTCCATGCGCTGAATTAACAAAAAATGATTTAATAATTCATCTTTCATATAAATAAAACAACAAACATAAGCAGAAAAACAATGTCGGTATAATTAACTTAGACTATTTATTATTAATCATAAATAATATGAAATTAGGCAAAGCTTATGAATGGGGAAGTCGTTAAAAAATCCTTTTATTTCCGTTTTAAAGGTATCATGCACCGCTTCCATTTTCACTTGGAACACTCAACGATTATTATTTATCCGAAAAGTTGCGACTGTTCTGTTATGATTATTCATTCCATGTGCTTAGATTTAATTTATATAATTAATCTGTCATACAAATAAAACAACAAATCATATTTATTATTTAATCATAAATATAACTTTGCATAACCATATACTTAGAATGTACTTTGTATAATGGGTCATGAAACTTTGACACTTTTATCATGATGACAACACTCAGCATGCCCATTCACGCACTACAGTGCGTAATTCATGCACAAAATTCTAGATGCAAGCATAAAACTTGTAAGCAGGGGGTACATGAACGCAAAGTAAAATCGTCAGAATGAATGTTTGGGATAGCCTAATATGCATATCAACTATCAAAGTATTTTGAGTTCACCAATGATCAGAAAAAAGTTAGTCACTTGATTTTTTATCAACTACCTTCAATTGTGAGCTTTAGGTATGTCATATGAAATGAAAAAATAAACATTTGAGATTTTGAAATAAATTAACATAATTTTGGAGTTACAAAATTTTGGTAATAACAAGTAATAATCGTATGGACTAAATAGAAAAACAGTTTTTGTAATGGCTGTTATATTGCTACCTTAAGTGATGAGATTGTGTCTGTGTTATTGGGTAGTAATACTTAGTGAAACAACTGTTCATTAATATCATGTTGACTAAAATGTTCTTACAAACAAAAACATGTTTAAACTTATGTGTACTCCCAGATTTTGAAATGTACCCCTAATTTTCAATGACAAGGGGAACATGTAACCCTACATTTAAAATTGAGTGGGCATGCTGAACACATACATAAATAAAATTTCCTTCATAATAATATTCTGTTGTTTTTTTTCTCTTTTCTTTTTTTGACAAAACAGACGGAGCACCTTATAAACATACAAGGACAAATGAGGGTTGTTGGTTCAAGAACCTTCATTTGTAATTCTTCAAATGTAAAATCCAGTTGTTTGCATGTGTGTTCCACCCGTTTGATCTCATTGTTGATGTACTTCAAGCGTAAATACCAGCTTACAATGTACATGTCATGACGGTCTCATCTTTCGGACCTGTGTGATTTCTTACTTTTGGGCTTTAAAACATTAACTAGCGGTTAATTGGGGATCTGTAAATAGTAAATTGTAATAGAAAAATATATTGTGCATTGATTCCATGCAAAAATCCGACGATATTACCGCCCGGTGAAAAATTTTAACACAGATAACCGGCATACCCATAATTTTCGTACCTGAATGTTGCATACCTTGTCTATAATAATATAACAGTGAAAAAAAAAATTTTTTTTAATTTTTTTTTTTTAATATACAGTGAACTCGACAGTTCCGGGTCAGTAACGAAATTACCGAAGCGTGACTCTTTGAAACGAAAGTTGAGAGAAACTAAACTGCTTTAATTGTGCAACAAATATTTCCTCCTTACTATGATATAATTCAACAATTCTAATAATTTGGTAAACTTATTTTTCAGAGTATTCATCTGCCCGCTGTATATTTGACAGTTTCGGGTCGCACTTGCTATTTCCGGGTCACGTGATAAAATGTTTATATTTGTCTTCGGGGGGCATCTCAAACGATGTAATATTCAACAAAACAGCTGTCATAATAACAACACTTTTATTGAGCATTTTTTGTTCAATATAAAAATAAAATGTAAATGAAAGAGGTAGAATATATCACAGGCAAAGAAAGAACAAAAATCACCTGCAATTACTTATTGCACATTAAAACATAAAATATTGCATATAAAAACATGGAAAGAAAAAATAGACTGTAAGACATGTATTAAACCATGAGTGAAAAAATGAAAAATCACAGTGAGTTAACATGGAATTAGTAATATCTAGGGTCACAATATGTTGTACATTAAATCACTGTCTACATACAAAGGCTGCTACTTATAGATCACCAACATTTCAGAGCACTCTTTAACTGAAGTATTTATTTCTCTTAACCGAGAGATAACCACATTAATGTTTTGTTTTGCAGATATAAAATATGTTGCAGGAATAACCACTCCCCCTCCTTCTTCATTTTGTGAAGGCCATGGTGGGAAACTAGGTATTGGTTCTCCTGTTGCCTCGGCAAATATATTACCACCTTCATCTAATACAGAACGAAACAACCCTGCCAAAGACCTAGGAACATGCCCTACAGGCAGATCAGCAATATCAAATAATTTCAAAAAACGTTTAGCATCTGTTACCATTGAGTGCATATTTTCATTGAACTGGTCTAATGGTGGTACCCACACCAAACAAGCATTAATGTCTTTAATATTTGTGTATTCTCTATGTAATAGAAAGAGCATCGACACAATATAAAACCCCACAAAAAATTAACCAATGTTGAATGAACTAGAATCTGAATAGGATATTTCCATCGCTATCCCTTTCTCTGTCGTCATAATATGTAAACCCCGGACAAAATGAACCAATCAATGGGCATGCTCTGGAGTGAGGGTAACTAATACCTGCACTCCAGTTAACGCACTGTGCATGTATATGTATACGATTTAACTCTGTCACATTTTCAACAGAAAGGTCCCCAAACTATGATACAACAATTAACTCTTTAGCGCATTGGAGGTACTGTATATGGTGGCCGAATCTTGTAAGCATGGTACCACTTGATAACTGATTTCTGTATCTCAATGACTGAAATATCTTGTCTATCATCATCATTACTGATACAAACACTCTCTGAACATCTTGTCTGTTGATTGTGTTCAACCGAATCGTTAATGGGCTGAAATAAAAAAGTAATACAGTGCTATACTATTTTTTCTACTAAGAGCTGTCACAATCATTTTACAAATGCTGCACTTTGCATCATCGAAGTTATAACTATATTATTTTTTATAATCAAATTAAAGTAAATACACAGCTGAGATAAAGAGTAACATGCTGACAGATGGACAAGCTAGTGTAAGTATACTCAGAGTGCAACTACTTTATTTCCAATTACAGAACATACAGAATATATATTATAATCTTGTGAAAAACTTTATCTCACTTAAGATATATGTTTTAAAACAAATATTAACATCTTCAGTGTACAATCAGGACACTGGAATGGTTCATCTTCTCCAACAGGGTCTGCAATGTGAACAACAGGTATGTTCCGTTTTCTCTTCGGAGCCATATTCCTAAAAAAATATCAATTTAATATTTATTTAAACAGTAAATATAAAATGAAACCAGACCCCCCCCCCAAAGAAATTCAAACAAACAACATCAATAAGTAAAACCCTACAAAAATCACTTGAAAAACACACACAAAAATACATTTTGTTATCTGAGTACTGTAACAATATCAAAAACATACAACTTTTCAAGACTCTGGTTGAAACCATTGTAACAGTTCTATAAAGGGGGCACCATCCACATTTAAAGCATATCAAAATATATGTAAACACAAGTTTAAATGGATCAGTATCAAGGATTTACCTTAGATATATCAATTTATACATTTAATTACTCTTAAAAAGTTACCAAAATCGTTTTTGAAAGACATTCCTAATTTTGAGAATTTCCCTCTGTCTGACCCGAAATTGGCATATGTAAACTAGGTCATATTGTCTGCTAGTTTTTCATAAAGACGTTTGACAAAAGCGATGAAAGTTTTTAATCTTGTTCAGTGGTAAATAATCTTCAAATAATTGTGCAAAACATACCTGTATTACTTAAATTATTGATACAAATAACAGTTTTTGCGGTGGCATGTAAACAAATAATATCTGCTTTCACTTTAGTGGGAAATGATGCAGTCAAGCGTTTCGTGATTGCGACATCCATTCTTCAAATGACAACATCCGAAATCAACGTGAAAGTAGCTAAGTTATTAGTCAATATGACTCAGTGTTGCATCTAGGCCGCGCGATTGCGCGATTTGCGCATTTTTTATGCAGATCGCGCATTTTATTGAAGTCAGTGCGCGCCAAGTCGCGCATCTGACAATCTTTTCAACTTAATTCAGTTTATCTTCATCGTATCTTTAACGCTTCAGCCATGTTTGTTTTCACTCGTGGTTATGACTAAAATACGTACTAAATCGCATGTAGCAGCCGACTAAGTCATCTCGCGTGTGTTTTGTAGTATTCGTCAATATTTTATTTTTTTACTTCCGTTTTTGAGCGGACGATAGCTGTCAAAAATGCCTGAATGTAAAATAAATGAACTCTATTCGGTATGTCATATTGTAAGGTCAATGTATGTCCCCCACATCTTTTTCAAATCCCCCACATTTTTCAATTGAGTGGGGGACAATCCCCCATAATTTTGAAATTCTAGATGCAACACTGTATGACTTGATTATAAAATTAATGAACAAGAGCCACCGCCGGGCGGGGGCAACGCTCGACTTTTTACTTTTTCTAAACGCAAACATAGAAAGGTTTGAACATATATTAACGTTTCCTTTTTATAAATTTAGTTTGTCTGTCTTGTCACATTAGTTTTCTTTATATATTTTGTATATATATGAATAGAAACATTAAGCATATTTCTAAAAATAGCAACAGTACGCAATTTCTTAAAATAGCAACATGACGCAATTTCTCAATATAGAAAAAATGACGCAATTTCTAAAAATACAAAAAATGACATAATTTCTAAAAATAAAAAAGTGATGCAATTTCTAAAAATAGCAACAATGATGCAATTTCTAAAAATAGAAAAATTGACGCAATTTCTAAAAATAGAAAAAATGAAGCAATTTCTAAAAAAAGAAAAAAATGACGCAATTTCTAGATATACTAAAATAGAAATTATGACGCAATATCTAAAAATAGAAATTATGACGCAATTTCTAAAAGTAGAAAAAATGACGCAATTTCTAAAAATAGCACCAATGACGCAATTTCTAAAAATAGAAATTATGACGCAATTTCTAAAAATAGAAATTATGACGCAATTTCTAAAAAATGACGCAATTTCTAAAAATAGCACCAATGACGCAATTTCTAAAAATAGAAAAAATGACGCAATTTCTAAAAATAGAAATTATGACGCAATTTCTAAAAATAGAAAAAATGACGCAATTTCTAAAAATAGCACCAATGACGCAATTTCTAAAAATAGAAATTATGACGCAATTTCTAAAAATAGAAAAAATGACGCAATTTCTAAAAATAGCAACAATGACGCAATTTCTAAAAATAGAAAAATTGACGCAATTTCTAAAAATAGAAAAAATGAAGCAATTTCTAAAAAAAGAAAAAAATGACGCAATTTCTAGATATACTAAAATAGAAATTATGACGCAATATCTAAAAATAGAAATTATGACGCAATTTCTAAAAGTAGAAAAAATGACGCAATTTCTAAAAATAGCACCAATGACGCAATTTCTAAAAATAGAAATTATGACGCAATTTCTAAAAATAGAAATTATGACGCAATTTCTAAAAAATGACGCAATTTCTAAAAATAGCACCAATGACGCAATTTCTAAAAATAGAAAAAATGACGCAATTTCTAAAAATAGAAATTATGACGCAATTTCTAAAAATAGAAAAAATGACGCAATTTCTAAAAATAGCACCAATGACGCAATTTCTAAAAATAGAAATTATGACGCAATTTCTAAAAATAGAAAAAATGACGCAATTTCTAAAAATAGAAAAAATGACAATTATGACGCAATTTCTAAAAAAAGAAATTATGACACAATTTCTAAAAATAGAAAAAATGATGCAATCTCTAAAAATACTAAAAATAGAAATTATGACGCAATATCTAAAAATAGAAATAAATGATGCAATTTCTAAAAATAGAAATTATGATGCAATTTCTAAAAATAGAAAAAATGATGCAATCTCTAAAAATAGAAACAATGACGCATTTCTATAAAAAAAAACCAAAAAAACAATGACCCAATTTCTCTAAATAGAAACAATGACGCAATTCTATAAATAGAAACAATGACGCAATTCTATAAATAGAAACAATGACACAATTTTAGTTATTGTTGTTGTTGTTGTAAATATATATATATAGACACACACACACCAATAAATATTTAAATATGGTCATTTACTGCACAAATCTGAGAAAATTCAGTAATTTAACCTTCAAGGTCAAGGTCATTTAAGAGCCCAAGCAAAGTTGGGTTTGATAAACAACAAGGTCTGGTCCTTAAGAATGTTCTCTAATAATATGAAGTTGATCCCTTCAATAATAGCAAAGTTACAGTCAGTGACCGCCAAAACAATGAAAATTTCAATAATTTGACCTTCAAAGACAATGTCATTAATGTGTGAAGGTCAAGGTCTTCCGGTATATCTTTAACAGTAATCTTTGAAGATTATTATGTTCAAGTTTCAGGACAATCCATTCAAAAATAACAAACTTACAGCCAATAAAAGCCAAAAAAATGAAAATTTCAATAATTTGACCTTCAAAGTCAAGGTCATTTATGAGTGAAGGTCAAGGTCTGGCTGGTTATTTTTAAGGGATATCCTTAAAGATTATTATGTTCAAGTTTGAAGACAATCCATTCAAAAATAACAAAGTTACAGCCAATAACAGCATGAACAAGCAAAAATTGGACTTTTAACCTTGAAGGTCAAGGTCATTTATGGATGAAGGTCAAGGTTAGTGTGGTCTACTGAAAGGTCTTGTCCCAAGGGTTGTTGTGGCCAAGTATGAAGACAATACACAAAGAAATAAAAAAGTTATGATCCAGGTACAAGTTTTCGGACGGCAACGGCAACGGCAACGGCAACGCCGACCTGACTGTAGCAATACCTCTATTTTTTTTTCAAAAAAAAAAGTCGAGCTAAAAACTAAATCATTTCCAAATAATAAACATATTTTTCTGAATGTGACCCGGAATTGTCGACGACCCGGAACTGTCGAGTTCACTGTATTGATATTTTATTGTATAAATAACAAGGTCAAACACATTTTAGGTCAAATCAATGCCACTAGCACCTGTGTGGCTAGCCGGTTCCTAAGAATAATTGTTGAGGTGTTTTGATAGAAAAAGAAACCTGAGCATAAAATACAAAACAACACATTAAAAAGGAAAAATAAAAATGAACAGACTTCTTTTTTATCTGACTGGGAAAGTCCTCATGATCATCCATAGGCTTTACCTTCTTTCAAAATATCAGTAAGAACTTGTTAGATCTCTTAAGGATTTCATAAATCATTTATCAATATAAGTTTTATTATAACTGTAAACTAAAATGCAGACAATTACCCAGCACACCGCTTGCAACAGCTTTAAATGCACAACTTTCGAAAGCAGCGGAGATCATTTGCTCCTGCTTGCTTCGAGCAGCTGACCCATACGCTGACGGTAGGAAAACATTAGTCTTTAACTTTTTCTCGCCTATCACATGGTTTAAAATAAGATTAAAAGTTTCAAGATCAGACGTTTGTGGTGTCAATAATGTGTCTTTAGTAACAGCCTCCGGTGGCTGTCTCATGGGCGCCGCCATCGGAAGTGATGTAAGTGAGCAATAACTAACCCAAAGTTAAATATTTACAGAAAAAACGATCTCACTAAAAAGCGTCCCGAAAAAAAAGAGATTTTTTTCTAAATTTAAACAATCAGATGGGTTAAACTTATTGTTTATAAGGTATATTATTATTTATCACAGATATGTAAACTCTATATTTATCTCCATGTATGTATTAAGGTATTTATGATAGAAAATATCTTAATTGACATTTTTTCTATTTACTGTACAGTACAGTATATCAATAAAACTAACTTACCTTCGAGTCCAATTCACTTGCTCAAAAACCACCCTGCTGTATATAAATTGTGTATTACAATATGGGTATCTTATATGGTTAAAACTTAAAACTAAGATTATTTTGCCAATTTATATACATTAATTAAGTTTAATGAATTAGTTCTGTAAGTAACATTAGGCGAGAAAGCAAATTTTCGTACAAAAAAATATCAATTTCAAGCCCAAAACCTAACGTTTATCAACGCCTATGCTTATCTTTTTATTCTATTTTTGCAAAAACATAGACCACAGTTACAAAAAAAGGATATACATATATATAAAATAACAGTTTAACAAATTGAAATATCATTTCGTAAAAGAAATAAATCAAATAAATTAAGTTAATGACTGAAATCAGATAAGGCATTGGTTAGAATTATTAAAAAATCACAGTTCAGATTATGACTAGGCCTACAACAAGTCAGAGACTTAATACTTAGCACAGAATATAGTTTAAGTTTACTGATAGATATGATACATAAAATCTACAATGTATATAGTTTAACATGAATTTTAAGATATAATATGGGGGATATACAGGTAAAGTATACCCTTAAAAATATTCAATACAATGTTTTTTTAGAGTGATCTATGGTTACAATTAAGGATGGCCCAATAAGCTGGTGTGCTTATTTCCAATGGAGTCCTGTTAATCAAATAGATGGAAACAAGATGAAACCAGAGAGACATCCCTTTCTCAAATAAAAAATAGATAATGAGATAAACTACGAATTAATCTTAGCATTTCTAGGTAGGTTTCATAATAGATTCAGTAGATGCAAGTAAAAAAAATACTCAATGGATATCAGTATCTTAACACGTATATGCTAGATTATCGCTGTAGTTTTGCATTATCACAGAAAAAAAAAGCCGCAGGAAAAACATGAGATGACTAAAAACTGATATGACTAAGCCTCGATATGTTGCCACTCAGTAATATATTAAACAATCACTTTGATGTTGTGCAGCCCAAATTGAAGCAAGGTGGCTTTTAACAGAAGTTTTATATAAAGTTGGACATTTTACATTATCTGTCAAACTATTCCAATCTTTAATACCATTATAGAAAAAAGTGCCATTGCATGTCTTATTACAATGAGGAATTGAAAAATTTAACTCATTTTATCTAGTGTTGTATTTGTGTATAATCCGAACAAAGTTTGTCTTCATATAAGTTAGACACTTATAAAAAAAAACCTCATGCATATAATTGAGTCTTAGTTGTTTTACTCTATTTTCAATATTTAACATCTGTAAAATCAGAAGGAGTTAAACTAGTTCTTGGATGGTTATCGTTTATAAACCTTAAATGACTTTATTTTGAGCTACTTGCAGTTTCTTTTTCAGACTATAATAGGCGTAGGCCTATTTCAGGTCGCATATTGATCAAGGTAGCGTCCAGGAGCGTCTAGAAGGTGATTCTTTATCAAAGCAAAGATAATATCTAAATAAATTGTAATTTATTTATTTTTTGCACGTGAAAGTAACATAAACAAGTGCATTTTTTATCCACAGAATATTATTTTACCGCACGAAAACTGACGTTTTACTGTGGGATTTCATGTCGCGTTAACAAAGCGTTCCGAAGCGTCTGGACGTATTATGTCACTTCAAACATCGATAAAGTTAAAATAAATCATTGTCCATTTAGATAGTTTGTTTGTCTAAATGATATAATTCAGGAAGACAGGTTTTCTCTATATACAAACTATTATTTAATATCCAGAAGACAATTAAGTACGTACGTGCGTAAGTTCATGTCACATTTTCATATTATAAAATGAGGAAGCGTCCGGAAGGTGTTGTTTTAATCTAAACAAAGATAATATTGAAATAAATTGTGATTGACTTTTATACTTGTATGTGTAAGTAACATTAACAAGGAAAAAAGCAACCACAACATATCATTTTACAGCACGAAAACTGACAATAAAATTCTTCACAAAAACTTAAAAGTATGTAAATTTATAATTATCCTTCTCGACATAGATTTATATTAAATAATTATTATAATCTGTATAATAAAAGTCTCTGAATGTAGGTAATCCTTTCATTGATGCAATAATCTTGTTCACATCAAAATAGTAAGTGTTTGTCTTTATCCTCGAGGCCAGACCTCTATGTATATATATTATTATAATTGTCACATATGCTGTATAATGGATTCCACATTAGCATCTGGAATATTATCAAAAAAGCGTGAGCATTAATTAGGATAATTAAATAATAATTAGGATAATAAGTAAGTGATTATAAATCTTCTCAAAGAAATAATCATTTACTTTCCCATTTTAATTTACTTCCATAGATTTTGTCAAAATCTGTATGATTACGTCTGTTTCTTGATTAAAAAAATCTTAAAATTACTTCTTTTCCAGAATATAAGGAACTTTCTTTAAATGTATTTAATAATTAAAGGAATAATAGGGATGGTCAACTTGGTCAACATAAACATGTCAGAGTAACGGTGTCATTTGTTAAGTCAGTAAAAAGCTAAATTAGCATTATATTGTCCTATAGCTCACGTCCATGTATAGAAAAGGTATTTAAATGGACACAAGTCATTATAAAAGAGTCATCATAATGTACAATAATTCCTGAAAAGTACACACGTCATTATGATTTGACTGTCTTTTATTGGTAAAACAATGTATCGATTGGGTCATTCCCCTGTGATCTGTAGTAAGCGATTTCGATTTTTTTATTTCACTGTTAAATCCAATAGAAACAAAGAACACGGGGTGGAACCCCATATACGGATCTCAAAAATGAGCATCGGTAAAAGTATAGGTGAATTTACGCTGCTCCAGATGTGAAGCATATCATCAGATGTGACAGGGAAATTAGGCACATCGCAGAGTAAGTTTTCAACTTTTTAAACAGTTATGTAAAATTCAAACCTTATTTTAAGAAAATTGAAATGTAATTCTACCCTCCTGACTCCTCTACATTGCCCATTTTTGTACTGAAATTCTTGGAGTCTTCATCAAGATATTCTTTCAGCCGTGGCTAAAACACGCAATGCATATGAAGAAAATGTCACTAAACGGACTCAGAATACAAAATCACACCATAGACCGACGCTTCACATTCGAACAAATCCTGATTTAAACATTAATTGAGCTTTGGCTACAAATGAAACAGTCGTTGCTCATAAATGCATATGAGCTCTATATGTGTTTAAGAGATCCATAAGTGACTTTACCGTGCATGTAATACGACAACAGCAACCTAGATATAGATCCCATTTATAAAGTAATCTACACTTTATTCTTTTCTGTATCATTCTGTGATAAAAAATATGCGCATTGCATGTTTCGGCCACACCAGAACCCACGACAGAAAGAATATCTCAATGAAGGCTGCATAGAATTCCAGTACAAAAATGGGTTGGTTATATAGAGTAGAACCACATTTCGATTTTCTTAAAAAAGGTTTGAATGGTATGTAACTGTTTAAAAAGTAAAAAAACTTACCCTGCTATTGACCAAATTTCACTGTCGCACCTGGTGTTATGCTTCACATCGGGAGCAGCTGAAATTCTTTTTAATGATGCTCATTTTTGAAATCCATATGGGGGTATGGGGAAATGCTTGAACTTTCAAGAAACATAGGCGAATATCAGGTTCCTTAGTCAGGAAATGGACGTTATATCTCTGTGATCTTCTACTTCATATATTTATATGTAATATGAATGAAAGTTTTAACTAACAAATTCGTTTTATCAAATTATTCAATACTTATATCACAAACAACGCAGTGGACGTGAAAAGAACGTAGGAGTCGTGCAATTCAATAGCCAAAACGAACACAACAGTAAGTAAACGAACCAAACGGATATTCTGGAAGTTAGCAGATTTGATTTTTGAAAACATTTATGTCGCCTCAGTGTTTCATTCCCGAAATCGAAGTTAAATGTTGAAATGCCTGGATAATTTTATATCTGCTTCTTTAAGTATCACACATGTATTTGGAACTATTAGGTCGGCAAATGTTTCCGGTATAAATGTTCAAACACAAGTTGTTTTGCGTCATTGTTGTAATTGATATCGATGAAACTTCCTTAAGTTTCAATATGGTAGCCCTGAGCAAACAAGAACTTTATTAAGATTTAAATGTTAAATGTGAGTGCTCATTTCCAAACTTAGGTTTCAATTTACCACAACATTAATACCGTACATGTGCAAACATGTTACCTCAGAGCTCTCATTATTACAGACCTTTTTTGCAAGGTGTCATCTGGCGCGTACATGCCAACATTAACATGATGTTTAAAGGTAGAACTTACGTTTAACTGTCATTGGTGGGATATTTGTTAAGTGGTTTGTTATTCCTTCTAAAGCTGAGCTATATGTATAAGAAAACTATGTAAAGAGATTTGTTTTCTTTCCAATTGATTTAGAAAAAATTCACTGTCGAGTCTATACACAAATATACATGGAAAGTTTATCATTAATATCGCTATAAAATGGAATTAATGGTTCAAATCTTCGAATTAACGAACATTTATATTTTGCACTAATCCGATTAGCGACATATGCACAATTAAGATTACACATTTCATTACGTACAAACAAAGTATTGTTTAGATGAAGGAGGCACAGTCTCTTATTACGGTAAAAACACATTTCTAATATTTCATATTAAATAATCATTATTAAGAATAATTTTAAAAAGTTTTACTGGGTTTCAATTTTACTGGATGTTGTATTT